TGTTTATTATTCGCATCATTTATTTATCACTGGAGCCCGCTCTGCCCTGCAAGCCCCTTAATCAGATCTACAGACTATATTGTTCTGGCAATCACAGGTAAAGTGAAGCAGCGTACTCGTGTGCCTAATGAAAACTCCTCCTTGCATCATTACCGCGGGCACCGAGTTGTTGATTGTGATGTCAAACGTCACCCAGCGGAGTGAGTCAGCATCATTTAGTCCACATTAAGGCTATTAACTCCCCCCACGGAGTAAGCTTATAATATGGCCGTAAAAGCGCTCCTGCGTCTGTAATGAGCGGGAAATTACTCTAACTGTGTCTTTGTGTGGATTCAGTCAGCAAAAGAATTTCTTTCAGCAGGCGTTTCTGTTTTTTCTTTTTCTTCCAGTTGTACAGTGTGCTCTCTGTTGGAGAGCTTTTATTGTTGTAAGCTCTGTGCCATTCAGAAGTTTGAAAACACCCGTGGTTATTATTCTGTTTTAAAGCCATTTTTTTACACATCTGATCTGGTTTTACACCACACTGAACATGAACTTGGGCCCTTTTTATCAGGAGTAAACCTCGATGTATCGGCCTAAAACAAAAGCTTTCAGAGGTTCACTGACTTCTTGATGGTTCAGATGATCTAATTTACTTTATGCTGAATTAAAATGGTTTAACAAAAACACTTGACATAGCAAAGATGGAAGAATTAATTCATTTTTTTAGATGTTGAATATAAAAGCTTGTTGAAAAGGAAGTTAACGTTGTGTTTTATCCTCAGGTGAAGGAGGCCATGCAGAGAATCCACGACAGAGGAAACATAGGAAAACTCATTCTGGATGTGGAGAAGTCTCCCACCCCTCTGGTAACAGCAGCAGTTTTACAATGTTTTTTATGAGCTTTTCTTAACAGTCTTATAGATGAACGCTTTTAGAAGACATACATCAAGAGCTGTTAAGTAGTTTCTTGATATTGATTCATCCTAAGAGTTGCGAGTGCAGTTTTATGAAGTTTTTACAGATTTTACAGAAACCAGCTAACGCAACAGCACTTCACATTTTTACAGCGGCTGATCGAATGATTCTAAAGTTACTGGGCTAAGTCACCTGTCCGTCTGACATCATCCATCCATCCATTATCTATACACTAGCACTGTTGCCTCGCGGCTAGAAGGTCGCCGGTTCGTGTCCCGGTGAGGACACCCGGGTCTCCATGTTCTCCCCGTGCAGCGTGGGTTCTCTCCGGGTTCTCCGGCTTCCTCCCACAGTCCAGAAACATGCTGAGGTTAATTGGTGATTGTAAATTGTCCGTAGGTGTGAATGTGAGTGTGCTTGGTAGCCCTGTGATAGACTGGTTACCTGTCCAGGTGAACCTGCCTTCACCCTGAGTCAGCTGGGATAGACTCCAGCCCCCCATGACCCTAGTGAGGATTAAGCGGTGTGTAGATAATGGATGGATGTTTTTTGACTGTGGAGACGACACGGGGAGAACATGCAAACTCCACACAGAAAGACCCCGGGTGTCCTCAATGGGACGTGAACCGGCGACCTTCTTGCAGTGCTAGCCACTGAGCCACCTTGCAGCCCCCTCTGGCATCTTTTAATACTGAAAAAACATCAACATAAAATAGCGTTTATAAATGGAGCAGGACACCACAGACGTTTTACGTGCTTAAAATGTCCCGTTGAAGACATTGTGACGAGGATGATTTACAGTTACAGCTCGCTTAGTTAATTAGTTATCGCCTCTAGATACCAGACTGGATAAATATTAATTTCAAAAAGCTCATAAAGTTATTAATTTACCAAGAGAATACAATATAAAAGTCCAGGGTCAAGATGGCAATAAACTAAAAACAGAACAGGAAGCAAGTTCAGGACAGACGTAGTAAGTCAATGCAAACTGCCCCCATGAGGTGATCTCCCTCATCTTAGTCGTGCAGCATTTGTAGAGCACGTTTTCAAGAAAATAAACTTTGAAAATGCTTGTAGACAAGATACCATGTACAAGAGATTTTCCTTTTCTCCTCTAATCTCCACATCAAACCTAGAAAAACTCCCCGTTGACAGCACAGACCCCGGGATCATCTCCACGTTTACTGATGTTCGCTCACGTTTACTGTCACAGTAAACAGCTATTGACAGATGAATCCTGTTTCACCACTAGATGGCCAGCGACAGCACGGAGACCAGTGAAGCAGGAGAGGAGGAAGAGGAGCCTGAGGGAGACAACGACAGCAAGGAGCGAATGCCTTTCATCCATTAGACAACCTGACACACATAGAGACTGGACAGGCTGCACACGTTCACGACCACACACGAGCGTGTATGTACGTGTGCATGTGCCGTACGCATGAATGCATGAACGTATGTTTGTACAGTAAATGTTTGTGCCTCTTGTCTGTTACCTTTTTGAAGAATACGATGAAGAATAACGCCCTGTTTGTCACCCAGGCAGCATACACGAGAGTCGAACCAGTGTTATAGTCTCTGCTGTACTAGCCAGTAGGTTTGTTCATTTCATAGTTAGCTGCATCCTCCAACAGTTTTTTAGCAACAGGCTGATGAAGCATTTAAACCTGCTGTCACTTTCTAATTAGCACCCTTAACAACAGATGTAGTGAAGCACACATATACAGTAACAAGCTAACATGTCGCATTTACTTCTCACACATCTCACAGTTATACAACAAGAGCAAACACCTGAGATAAGTTTGAGGAAACGACCCCCAGTGCTGTAACGTGAAGGAATCCTCGTGTTACGTCAGGAGATGTAGAAAAGTCTTTGTGTAGATATTTGCATGGTATTTTATTCTTAGGGGGCCAAACTTGTAATTATACGGGATCACCAGTGCCTTCGAGCTGCAAATGAGTGTTTAATACTTGAAATACTTTCCTCGCGTGACGTTCACATTGAACAAACAAAAATGTATTTTTAAGCAAAACGTGACAGCTGACGTGTAAACTATTAAAAAATCCCTCCACATCTGATCACAAGGGGGATCTGTGGTGCCACCAGAGCTCTTATATGATAAGTCACTGGACTGAGAGCTTATTTTTCAACCTGCTGAAAACAAGTGACATTCGGTAAAACCCACAACGTTTTACATCCGTTGTCAGTGACAAACTCACACTTAAACAAGTCAAATCTAAGATTCAAAGGTCGGTTTTATTTTTTATCTGTCAAAATCTTGCAGAATGTATGTAAAAGCAAAAGAAAGTAATCCATAAATCCTGGATTTTCTTTCACATGAAGTAGTCAGTCAGACTGCAGTTCAAGGTTTGTGGAGTTTCTGCTTCGCTTGTCTGACCAAAGTTGTTTACTTGCTGGTGCCTCACAACAAAAGTGCCATAAGACTTCAAGATGAATTATTTTTACAGTGAGCTGGTGTTTAAAGGCAGGCTGACGGAGGTTTGAGCAACACTGTGTTTTACGTGACAAGCCCTGCTTTACTCCACATCTGCAAATGAAATATACTCACCTGTTGAGACGACCGATCGGCATTAAAACAAACTATTTCATCGTCACCGTTTACCTGGCCTTGCTCACTCAGTGTATTTTATACCGGCTGGTTGTCTGAATTATTTATACCTTCACAGAATGCGCTCCAGAAAGTATTTTCTCAACAATAAAAACAACAGACCACTGATTTCTAATTTTATGAAATTAAAATGGATCATCTTACCAACGGCAGAAGTACCAGAGTGGCCTCTGCATGCTTTGAAGGTGGAGCAGCAACGCCGAAGCGATGAAATAAATTCATTTCTAGACTTGGAAACAAGGACGATAATGATTTGGAAATGCATCGAAAATGTCGACGCCTTTATCGTCAGGTCAATTAATGTGTGTGTGTGTGTGTGTGAGAGAGAGCGGGAGTGTGTGTGTTCTTGAATGTTTGTGTTCATATTGCCTTGTAAAAAAAAAAAGAAAAACATGTAAAGAGGTGTTCAGCATTGTAGTGTGTTCACAATCCTCCTCCTATGGTTTACCTGTGCTCGTACCTTTTTTGTCACGTTTTGGTTGTGTACGTTCTTTGAGTACAGCTCTGTTTACTTGAATAAATTTATCTGCAAAGTGCAAAGTGTGATTGTGTTTTTGGTTCAGTGTTTTCATGTCCAGAGGATCATCTCAGCATGTGTTCACGGTGCAACTAATCAACCTGTTGCACTAATTGATTTGGTTAGAATACATTATTCTAGAGAATGCTTCACTTTAGAGGGGAAATGCATTGTTTTGTGGAAATTTAAATAGCTTCAAAATGTTCTGTTTAATGACTCTAAAATGGGAAAACATACTTGAACTGGTTTGGAGAGTTGTATGGCTATATTGAGCCCGTACGCCTGAGGCTGGTTTCTTTTTTAGCTCCCTCCTCCCAGCTTGTATGCAACATCTGACTCTAAAAATAACTCCACCACCACCAGAGCTGGGAGCTGGACTTCCACAGGTCTAATGATGGCTTTATTTTGAAAGATTATGTGTGTGACTGAAACAGCATCTATGGATGTGTTGATAAATCAGCAATATTCATTTCATACATTAAAAAAAAGCTAATTAACCTTTTTGTATGTGGACTATATTTGACTGCTGTCAGTGAAGAGATGTTTTCTGATCTGACACATCATTTTTTCACTTAAAGCGCAACACGTGACAGGAGACGGGATGGAGAACATTCTGTTAAAGGGAAGCAGTCAATAAATTTCCAGTTTGTTTGTGAAATGAAAGGGAATGCTGCGTAGTGCACCTTGTCCTGAGTAAATATTTATCTAAAAATAACTTGAAACAAGGAAATCATTATTTGCCTCCACCCTTTTTTTTTTTTTACTTTTACCTCCCTCACCTCCTCCTGATGTTTGGACAAACACAAACAGAGTTGGAGCCAATGCAGGGAGAGAACCAGGAAAGGCACACAGAGAGGCCAGTATATATATTGAGCTGCCCACGGTGCCTTCGGTTCCTCTCACAGCAGTACAAGGTGTGCCACTGTGTCCTTGTGCTGCAGGATCCGCTGGCCTCAGACATGGCACGTCTGGCCCTCCCCGTCCTCCTCGTCCTCTGCCTCTCTTTGCCCCACTTCTGCTCCAGCCGTCCGCCTCGCACCAGGAAGGCCGTTTCATCTCGCCAGTCTGGAGGTATGGCACCACATTCGTAAGTGATGTGTTCTGCAGCGATGTTTATCTGACCTGTTTTTTTTCCTCCTCGTCGGGATGCAGCCGCCGAGGAAGATGATGTGAAGTCCCAGCTGGAGAAGTTGTGGCAGGAGGTGAATTCACTGAAAGAGATGCAGGCGCTGCAGACAGGTACTGGCCTCATTAAATACAGGAGGATTAATGAGAAGGTTTCTGCACAAGATAAGTCATAAATTACTCATGTGAAGGCTGGTTTGTGATATCACTGGATAATGTTAGGCCACTGAGCTGCAGTGCAAAAGTGCTGAGAGATAATTGTCAACATTTTGAACTTCTTGGTGTGCTTCATCACCAGTAGAGGGCGTCATACAAGCCATTATATTGTAAAGTAAAAGGTTGAATTGCACAGTGACTGACACTCTTATGAATTCATGGGGAGAATGTTTCTATTAATGAGGTCATTTACTCTTTAAATGGCAAATTAGTCAACATTTGATTTGTGTTTTCAGTCTGTCTGCGAGGCATCAAAGCTCACAGGAAGTGTTACCTCACCATCGAGGAGCCCAAACACTACCACGAAGCAAACGAAGACTGCATTGCACAGGGGGGGACTCTTGCGACGCCGCGGGACACGATGGAAAACAATGAACTGAGAGACTATGCCAAGAGGAGCGCTCCGGGATCCAAGGACTTCTGGATCGGCGTGGCAGACATCGTGAAAGAAGGCCAGTATGTCGATGTCAACAGCCTGCCAGTCAGCTACTTCAACTGGGATCGCTCCAAGAAGCAGCCCACAGGAACGAAGAGGGAGAGCTGTGTTGCCCTTTCAGTCGCCGCGCAAGGAAAGTGGTACGATGAGGTGTGTCGCAGCCTGAAGAAGTACATCTGTGAATACGTCATCCCCTGAAGGAGGCCGCTGACGGATCCTTTACGCGGGTTTAATCGATGAAAACTGTATAAAAACAAAAGTGTTGTCAATGGTATAGCAACATGACTTGTATTAAAGTGTATCTCTATGGTTATTAATTAAGTTTCTAATAAGCTTTGTGTACACATCTGATAATCAGGTGGCATTATGTGACCCCTCTGTGATAAAACATAACCTCACGTTATTGAACAGCATGAGAAACGAGAAGTTCTGATTTAAGTTTCATAAGAATAAACTTTTTAAAAAGGCGCCTTCATTGTTTTGCTACCGCTGCTTTCATTCTGCCCATGAAAATATACGTTTCTGCATCAGATTTACTGTTTTCTTCAGCTGCATACATAAACACAAATGAGTTCCTCAGTTTAATTCTCAAATGTAAGTGTAGAGATTTGCTCAAAGTGCAGTGCTAGGGGGGAAATGTGAAGTGTTTTTAATTCTGCTACCTGTTGGAGCATCACTATGAAACTCAAACTAAAAAAAAAGTTTAATTTTGAGAGTAATTTACATGTTAGACAGCAAAGACGGTGACCATCTGTAACCTTTGCTGTACGTTCAATCCTGTTATCAAATTTGTTGACTAGAAAGGCAGCATGTGAAGCTCTAGATGGTAAGGAATGCTCCATTTTTTTATTTTTTGGGGGGTAAAATGAACAAATTTCAAATTTTGCAAAATTCAAAATCGACTACAAACACCCATAGCCTGACTGCAATGTAAAAATATTACCATTGCATCATAATGCAACAGAAAACTACCTGTGAGAGACAATTTGAGGTAGACGGGTGGGTTGTGCCACAATAAAATCACTATAAATGTATTTCTTGGATAAAATGACACTGGCAGAGGACACTCTTCTTCTTGCTCTGTGAATTTCTGCTGCAAAACTCCACCTGTCTGGTGACGGCAAACTATGAGGAAATTACTACGAATGTGCTTGTTTCCTTTTCCTCTCTGTTAGACATTCCTTCTTTTTTTTAAATGTGGAGCTCTGTTTTGTTTTGTCTAGCTTCCCTCTAACCCCCAAACCGTGTCCGTATCTCTGAACTCATGAGCGTCACAAACACTCAGACTTTTACATTGAATGCTGGATGTAATTTAGCGTCTCCAGTTCACCTGACCTTCCTCTGGAATGTGGGAGGGAACCTGGATCACCAAAAATAAACTCAAACAAACACTGAAAGAACATGCAAACATACAGAAAGAGACTGTTATCAAACCTCGACCCCTCTCGCTCTGAGGGGACAATGTGAAATATGTTCTGTTTGGGCTCTGATTTGAACAGAAAGGGCAACGCAGAGCACAAATGTTTAGTTAGATTTAAATCTTATTGGGCATATGTGCCACCAGTTTAAAACTCTTATGATAAAAGCCCAGCTGCTCTGGTGTTCCAGGTAGGCGTCTTCATGGACAGTTGACATGTAGATTAATGAAGTATTTCTGCTTCATTCTAAGCTGTGATCAATTCATTTGAATTACAAACAGAAAGGAATTTAACTTTAGAGCATCGCCTCGACTTGGGGGTTAAGATGAAAGCCATGAAGTACAGTGTTACCTTAATGCACACCGCTAAAGGAGTGTGATAACTTGATTAAACACAAATTCATATATGCCTGATATATTAATAGAAATAGGCTGGGCTGCAAAACGACATTCTGCTTCACGGTAAGTGGTGGTGTAGGCCCCTGTGTCTTATTGTTTTCTGTACATAAATCATCCATCCATCCATCATCTCTACACCTTAATACTCATGAAGGTCATGGGGGGCTGGAGTCTATCCCAGCTGACTCAGGGTGACGACAGGTTCACCTGGACAGGTAACCAGTCTATCACAGGGCTACACTTAGAGACAGACAACCAAGCGAACTCACATTCACACCTACAGACAATTTACAATCACCAATTAACCTCAACATGTTTCTGGACTGTGGGAGGAAGCCGGAGAACCCGAAGAGAACCCACGCTGCACGGGGGGAACATGGAGACTTAGCAACGGTGCAAACCACCGAGCCACCTTGCAGCACCTCATTATAACATCTCATTATAAAATATTTTAAATCAACACACGCTGTCTCACTGTAGAAAGGTGTTGCTTTAGTCTCCAGAGGAACCTTGGAGTTATCTTTGACTGGAATATGTCCTTTAACTCACATATAAAGCAAGTCTCTACGATGGCTTTCTGTCATCTGCACAATTTTGTCAGAAAAACAGGAACATTCTGTCTCAGAATGATGCGGAAAAACTATTCCATGCATTTGTTACTTCAATGATGGACCGTCGTAATTTCTTATGTTCAGGATGTTCTTATAAATCACCAGCATGAGAGACAATTTCCTTCTCGTATGAGCTCATCTTCCTGGTCTCCATGTAAAATCCAGAATAGAATTTAAAATCTTTTTTTCCCCTCTCATAGAAACACATCCTATAGACCTTATTTTATCTTAATGTCCCAGCGGAGCACTTTGCTCTCAGACTGCAGGCTCACTATTTATCTTATTATTGTTGTTTCGGTGTGGAGCAGGTGCACAACACATCTCACTGTGCGTTACACCAGGTAGAACTGTGTTTGTGACCAATAAAAGATCTTGAATCCTTGAATCCTATTTGTGGTTCTTGATGGCTGTCTTCCCTTAGCCTGGTTCTGCTGGAGGTTTTTTTTTAATCAAACATCTTGCATTTGTTGGCTTTCACTCCACAATATTGTGAAATCAAGTCAAGTCACCCGTATTTATACATAACACATTTAAATTTGTATGGTCATCAACTTACCATGTGAAGGTTGTGATGGGCCGTCCAAGTCATGTTTAGCTGTTTGCAGGTGAGAGAGATGGTCTCTAAACTCACTGACATGGACTGGGTTTGTTATAATACTACTACTATAATACTGTAATAATGTAATACTACTACTAATAATAATAATACCCACAACGGACCAGGATCTTTCTGCGTGGAGTCTCCATGTTCTCCCCGTGCAGCGTGGGTTCTCTCCGGGTTCTCCAGCTTCCTCCCACAGTCCAGAAACATGCTGAGGTTAATTGGTGATTGTAAATTGTCCGTAGGTGTGAATGTGAGTGTGCTTGGTTGTCTGTCTCTAAGTGTGGCCCTGTGATAGACTGGTTACCTGTCCAGGTGAACCTGCCTTCACCCTGAGTCAGCTGGGATAGAATCCAGCCCCCCTAGTGAGGGTTAAGGTGTAGAGATAATGGATGGATAATCATAATAATCATAATTGATAGATAGATAAGATGTGATTTGGCACTATATAAAAAATATGAAACTGAGTTAAATTGCATTGAATTTAATTAAACTGAAATTAATGATTTTAATTCAGCTGAACATAATACTAATAATACAGGGTGCATATATGGTTGCATTGTAAACATAACATCGTGTGTACGCGCTGTAATATCGCGTTGCTTTAACTGCAGGTTCTGCGCATGTATGGGTCAAGCGGCAGAAACGACCAATGAACCTCACACCATCCTTCATATTTTAATTTTAATAATTGCTTCAAGTTATTCGTTAAATCACGAAATGCTGATGTGCCAGCCTCTCCTGGTTGTGTCCCTCCGGCTGTCTGACCCGCCTCCAGCCGACACAAACGCTCCGGCCCGCGTTGTTAAAACTAGAAGCGCTGCCAAACTGAGCCACGGGGACCTGGTCTCCCTGTCAGCGCTGATTTCTGACCAGATCATGTCGTGTTCCCGTGTGCTGCTGTCATCTCTGCCCTTTTAAAAGCAATTAAAAACGCACACACACACGCTCGCCGACGTCACCGTGGCCGCACACATCACGCACGCCGCTCTGGATGGAATGTGACGCCACGGCTCCCCGAGTGAAGTCTCGCGGAGTAAAGCACCGGCCATTTTTCTCCATTTATAGCAGGACACTTTGTGCTTGGGTAGTGCAGCCGAGAGTGTTGCGATCACTTTGATAAGCCTACAAGTTTCGGCAAGTTTAATCTAGTTATCCAAGCATCCAAACTAACAGCAAACCGAACACAAACCATGTTTGTGTGTAGCGCCGCAAAGTTTTTTCGCTGACATCCTCGTCCGGATAGATGCTTGTCTAAACTGTCGCACAAATGGAAATGGTGCCTAGCGAGGAGAACCAGTTCGTACCCAAAGAGGTGAGGTTATTACGGACCAAGTCCCGGTCGGCGAGGCGGCGCCTGGCCGTTAGCTGTCACCTTCGCAGGCCGTGCACATTAATAACGGCGAAACTTTTGCAGTACTTTGGGAGTTTGCGATCTTGGTGTGTCGTTTAGAGGCTAACTCTCAGCTGCTAGCAGTTAGCTAAACATGACTTGAACGGCCTATCATGACATGGCTAACTAACGTAACTGCTAACGTCAGTTAGCGGCTAGTTTCGCTACATCTCAGTCGAAGTGAATTTATGTAGGCAGCTATAGCTTTAGTATAATTATTATTCATTTAAATAGCTTTCAGATTTGTCTTGTCATCATCAGAAACTTCCAAGCATCCCAAATGTTGCAGCTGACATGGTGTTATCCCGTCAAACAAAGACATTTGTCAACATTACTGGGCTAACTTGCATAACATTAGCTTGTGGGGATTTAGCTAGCGAATGTCGTTAGCCTTTTAAATCTGGCCATTGGCAACAACTCCAGCTAATCTAGATGTTTTTGAACTTGCTAAACCAAATGCAAATAGCTACATCAGTTGACCTGACGTACTGTGTTTAAGCGACGTTTACCCTTAACGGCAGTTTTACAAATATACGTACTTTACTTCATTCTTGCGATAATTTGCTGGCTGGTTTATGTGGAATTTGTAGTTTTCTGTAAACGTTCATGTTAGCAAGTCCAGTTCGCAAGCTAACGCTAATGTTAGCGGACTGGACTGGCTGTGTTCCTGGTGAAGGTGCAGAGAACGCAGCGGTGATGTGACAATAACAATGTCTGCTTTCACATCCTTGACTTACTTAGCATTGGCTTGTTTATCATGATATGCTTGGCTAACGTGATAGTGCGGATTGCTACCTGGTACAGTAATGTTCGAAGCTACTATGCTGTGCGTTGTGCTGTGTTTTTCACACAAGTGGGAAATCTATCGGCTCTGTCCCTCGTCAGCGCCTTTGACGGCGGTCAGATGGTAAACTGGCTGCTGACATGTTGGCCCAGGTTGACAGGGTGATGTTAAGGTAAACGTCGCACAGGCTACTATTGACAT